CCTGGCTAATTTTTTTTTGTATTTTTGGTAGAGACGGGGTTTCTCTGTGTTGCCTAAGCTGGTCTTGAACTCTTGAGTTCAGGAGATCCACTTACCTAGGCCTTACAAAGTGCTGAGAACACCATGCCCAGCTAAGTATCTTTTTGAATAAAAATTCTTCATGCAATTGAGATTTTCAGTTTACATATTAGTCTCCTATTTCAGGTGCTAGTCCTATCTGCCAAGTATAAGACTATATACAAATAAAAATTTAAAGTTCTCTTGGTAAAATAAGAAAACCCCCAATTAATAAAAATGGTAAAGAGGTATTAAATTCTTCAAAAAGGCTTTGGTTAGCTGCCATAGAAATATTAAACAACAATAAAATGAAAATTTTTCCTTGGTCACTGATGTATCTGTTACATATTTTTAAGAATCTTACTTTGTGTGGTACACAAGCAAATTTACATTTATATGTCTTTAGATACTGTCCCTATTAATAAATAGTTATGTCTCACTAACTGCCTATATAGTTAAAAGAAAAATAATTTGTTGCTTACTGTGTTAAATGTTAATAGGTAAATCAATTATTTTTGAAATATATTTTCCACTTTACAGAAATATTGTCAGTCTCCATGCATGAGGAACACGGCATAATAAAATGGTCTTGGGGATTATAACAAAGCATAAAATTTGCTTTGGTAGCAGTATGAACGAATAAAGAGGATTTTTTTACAAAAGGCATTTAATACAGTGTGCAGGAATGGGTGAAGGCTTCATGGAGGAGGTAGCATTTGAGATAAATATTTAAGAAAAAATTTCCAGTGGGCACTTTGAGTGAAGAGGCAAAGACAATCACACAGAAAAGCATGCAAACAACTTTCTAGGAAAGAAAGTAGAGTGTCTGTCCCATATCAGGAAGGTCTTTTTTATGTCAAGCTGGGAAGATAATTTCTGTATTTTAAGGCAGGGATCCCAACTGCTGGTACTGGTCTGCGGCCTGTTAGAAACCAGGCTGCAGAGCAGGAGGTGAGCAGTGGGCAAGTGAGCAAAGCTTCAGCTGTATTTATAGCTGCTCCCTGTTACTCACATTACCGCCTGAGCTCTGCCTCCTGCCAGATCAGCAGTGGCATTAGATTCTCATAGGAGTGTGAACCCTATCGTGAACCGTGCATGTAAGGGATCTGTGTTGCACCTGCCTTACAGAAATCTCATGCCTGATGATCTAAGGTGGAACAGTTTCATCCTGAAACTGTCCCTTCCCCTCCCCCTCTCAGGTTCATGGAAAAATTGTCTTCCACAAATCCAGTGCCTGGTGCCAAAATGGTTGGAGAAGAGAAGTATTTTAAGCACAGAAGCAGCAGGTTACTGTTTCCACACTTATAGTAAAGCTTCTTTCTCTTGTTTTCAGTAGGTATGAAGAGTTAGCCACTTTTATACATAGTTCTGACAGATAATGTTATTAAGGCTAGGATTCAATGGCTAAACAAATAAATAAATATATGCTAAACAGAAATAATTATTCTATGGGCCCAGGAGATAAAATTCCTTCTATCAGAAATTAATCCTTTGGTTTGAAGAAATGGGTTGCAAACTTCACTTTGTTTTATATGTGATAGTAACACACTGTTTGTTGTTATGTATGAAAGTTTTCACAGAGCATCCATGAATAAAAAATGTAAATCCAGAATTTACCACCAAAATGTAGAGAAACTTTGTGAGCCTCAAAAGAATGTTTCTTGGCCTGGTAAGGTTGCTCACTCCTGTAATTCCAGCACTTTGGGAGGCCAATGTTGGAGGATTGCTTGAGCCCAGAAGTTCAAGACCCTGGAAAATATAGTGAGACTTTCATCTCTACAGAACGTTAGAAAAGTAACTGGGTGTGATGGTGTGTGCCTATAGCCCCAGCTAATTGTGGGGCTAAGGTGGGAGGATCGCTTGAGCCTGGGAGGCTGAGGCTGCAGTGAGCCTTTATTGGGCCATGGCACTCCAGCCTGGGCAACAGAGCAAGATGCTGTCTAAAAATAAAAAAAAAATAAGAAGAAAAAAAAAATTTTCCCTACTGTTGCTAGCAACTACTGACAAACTCCCATAAAAGTTTGGGAATGCACAGATATGGTTTGAAAACAGGTGGGTGAAGGTATTTAATTTCTAGGAAATGAGGGGAGCCATGGTGGTGGCCAGGACCTCTGGGAGGAGGAACACATTAAGTCATGATTAACCACTCAGTAGGGTTAGTAGAGCAAATAGATGGTGTTATTTACAAAGATAAAGGTATGAAAGAACAAATGTAAAATTGTGTTGAGACATCATTTTTATGGGCCTAAAAGTAAGTTACAAAATTCACCATATATGTTTGTTTATTTTAAAGTAGGTTTTTCACTTGTATATATTTGAGTCCCACAAATTGACACTTCTAATGCATAAAATACTGCAAATATTATTTTCCTCTAGTAGCTTTTAATTTTAACTTTTGTCAATTAAAGGGCATTTTAGAAACTACACTGTAGAACTTGACTTTTGATGAAAAGTCATTCATTAGACATACAGTGCAAATTGGGTGCTGGCATCATCCAGAGTCCAGGCACCTCTGAGTAGAAAACTGCAGGCACAAGTATATTCACAGTAATATAAAAGTGATGATTCACACTTAAGGGAATTAGTTTAAATTAAGTGTTACATATTCTATTTAAAAAGGCATATGTGCATGCTTAGAAGTATGAATGTGTTTGCCTAAATTAAAGATGCAATGAAAAGCAAAGTCTTGTACTAAGAATATCCTTCAACTTCTTATTTGTTGCCTTTTCTCCTTTGAACTACTTAGGTCAAATGCATTCTAAATCTTACTCTTAAAATGTGATAGCATACCATGTCAGAAAAAAATGACAGGATAGTTTGGATGTTTAATGAGAAGATGGAACTAAAACGCAGTATTATTCATGCTAAGCTTTCTTAAATATATTTGCATATGTTAACTCCTGTGCTAGAATTATTTTAAGGAAGTAAGCATTAAAATCCCAACTCCTTGATGCAGAATCATTTTAGAAGTACATTTACGCCATTTCATAATGACAACCATTTTTGAAAATTTAATCATTTTCTCAAGATACAGTTTTTGACAAATGGTCTGTTACTTTACAGCATCTCATTTGTTTTTAACAGCATTTCAACCAAAGGAAATATGCTGCCTCAATATGGGTTAATGTATATAGGTAACAAAATCATTTAATTCTTTATAATCAATCTATAAGTCTAATAATCATTCAGTATAATTGTAATAATCATGTAATTCTTTCTTTTGGAAAAGAAAAGCCAAGAGTTGACTATTATATACCTTAATCTTTGTGCTTTAAAAGCCATCTTTGTCTCTTTCTTCCACCAAAGGCAAAAACAAACAACAATAGCAACAAAAAGATAAACATCAAAACTTAAACACATATTGTGTTATAGACCTCAGGATCAAATATTTTAGGAAATTTAAAATGTAGGAGAACAGAGTTTATGTTTGGCAAAATTTATATCTTATCTGAATTCCTATGGTTTTTACAAGAATATGTTATTATCAATAAAAAGGGGGTAATTAAAAATTGTACCAGTGTGTTTTCAAAGAAAGTCACCTGCCAAGAAAGGTGTCAGTAAGATCTTTACTGAAAGAATTATAAAAAGCCTCTGTCGTGACCGAGCACATGGAATGAACTGACCCTTAAACTTTAAGAGACTGAAGTAGAATACCTAATGTCAAATGCTACCCAAAGAGTCAGCTGCAGGATATTGTAAGAGGTGTTCATATCTCAGTGTACAGAGGAGAAAAAAAAGTAATAATTCTGTACAACAGCCCCAGGGCACTTGCATTTTGAATCACTGCCACAATAAGCAGATCACCAGTAGGAAGAGAATATATTTTGTAAAACCACAGACTTGCACTATCAGTAGACATCAGTGTAAAACAAAAGAGGCAACAGAATTAAAAATAGAAGTATAGAAAAGGGAGAGAGAAAGAGTAATTCTATCTACTGCCTACAGTTTGCAAAGACAAGAGACTTATAATTCAGATGTGCATTTATTTAGAGACCCCTTAAAAAATTCTGACTACCTTTATTACATTAATATTCTCGGTCTTTATACTTATTTTTTCCAAGTATGGTATAATTATACAGCCAAAATAATTCAATGTCAGGCTGTTTATGTTTCCATAATGTAAAATATATAGGGAAAAGAATTTCATGTTCCCTTTTCACGTAACGATGATATGACTGAATTACAAAGTAAACCTTAATAATGAAAGGCACAATTTGAAGATAAAAATAAGATAGAATCTGATCTAGTTTAGACCTAGGCATTTTCTAGACTGATGGTTGATTTAGTCACAGGCAATTGAAATACATTTAGTAGGTAACAGCTTTGTAACTCACATTTATATTATAAATCATTTTACTTTTCGATAACACAGAAAATCTTCCATTTTAATGAGTTTCTACTCTATTTCAAATTGGAAAGCATGCTAAATGTGGTTCTTAAACCTCCTGTATTGTTTATTGCCCTTATGTTATACACATAAGAAAATTAAATAATGGGAATTATGCTAAACTGTGTATATGAAATGCAAATATTTTTCTAAGCCAAGAGGACTTAGTTTGCAAAGTTCATAAAATTTTTTAATTTTACTCTTTCTGTGATGCACAAGGAAAGTAACTCTACAATTTTTACCACATTATAACCATAAATAACAATATCAGGAGACACAACACATCTCATAAACCTTCAAGGATGACACTGTAGCAGATTTTAAAATTCCTGTGGAAAATTGTGTTCACTTTTTTTTTTAAATTCACAGAGGCTCCTAATGCCATCCTATATCCACAGTTTAAAGTAGATTAAACTAACATGCACATTATTCATTCCATACATTTTCTTCAACACTTCCACCCTTTTTAAGTCTTTCTTCCTTTATACAGCCCTTTATTAAAAGTTTGACAATACATTAACTTCCTAAGTAGTGAAGCCATTTAAAGCACACTTACTTGAAAAGTGTAAAACCGGGTCCCATTAGGAGGATGCACTTTAGGGGAGCCAGAAACGGTGTTCATATCCGAGAAAATCATTTCTGATCACAGAGACAATATAATCCACAAGGAGCTACAGATGCAGAGCAGAGAGCTTAGCGTACAGATAAATCCGTGCATGCATTGAGGGAGACTAGAGGGTAAAATGAAATCTGCCCCATCCTTCTTAGATACACAGTGATAGCATTTTGAATCTTTCTTCTACATTTGAAATCTTAGCTGAAAGATCATCAGCCACCGACCTTTTGTGAAGCTAGTTCTTTAGAACATACAATGTTTTTTAAAAAAATTAAAAACACAGAAGGAAAAAAGCAAGAACCAACGATAAATGGAGCTTGTGCAGAATCTGGCAGTGCTGTGGACCTGCCCATCTGTTCTCAGTGATAATCACCTCCCTCCACCACAGTCTAGCAGAGTGATTATGCTAAATATCCTGGTTAACCAATAACATACAGTTTCATTTCAGGGAAGCATGCACAGTGTATTCAGAGGACCTCTTCTGACTAACCTGAAGTATGTTTCATATACTGTTTAAAGCTCTATTTAGTAACAAATTGCCGTTTTATCACTCTTATTTCTGTATCTTTCTCAGTCTTTTAGTCACTCCCAGACTTTTCAACAAGATGTGATTTTTTTTTTTAACAAAGAGTTCTTTTATAATTTATAGATCAAAGTATATTACAGCTGTTACAGCTGGCTGGGACATTGAGAGGCAATAGCATACAATTCGGTAAGACTCTATATACTAGGAGTACTATCAAATAAAATGTACCAAATATTTTCCACTTTTCTGAACTGCTATAGAACATTATGAATACGAATGTAATTATTATTATCTCATTTCCCCCATCTTAGCTAAAAAAATCATTATGTTTGACAATCAGTGCTTCAAAAAGTACCACACATTTGTTTTAAATAGTCATAACCTTATTTCATATACATATATATACACAAGAATTAATAAAAATATTTTATACACATGAAGATTTTCAACTCAAAAATCCAAAAATATTGAATACAAACATGTAAGTTTTGTTGCAAACTATATTCTTCTTGTATATCTTTAACAAATTCTTCAATTTGTATAAAAGATCATATTCAGATGACTTGACAACTTTTAGAAGTAAAAATAAATGTTCCATTTACACATGGTTCAAATGTGGAGACTTCAGTAGGATAGGAAACAGAATAAGCCAAAAGTGATGTCTTTGTGAATGTATCTAAGATGACACAGTCATACATAATAAAAACCACCTACTTTAAACCTGAAGGCTATAAAGGATGATGATTTACACTTAAAACCTAAATCATTATTCATAGTATTTCTGATTCTCCAATTACACATGAAATTTATAACATCAATGGAAAGGATGCAGAAAGGTGATCCTCAGTTCCTTAGATGGAACTCCTACAGCCTGATAAATTATGTGTATAGGTTATTTAACTAGCAAACTTGCTAAATAAACCAGAAAATTATTTTAATAAATTTCAATTTGAGAATAATTTCAGATTTATAGAAAATCTGCAAAGAAAGTACAGAGAATTCCTGTATATCTTTCATTCAGTTTTTCTAACTGTTATCTTGCATTACTATGGGACAATTGTCAAAACTAAGAAACTGATTTTAGTGTATTATTATTAACTAAACTCAATACTTGGATTTTACTAGTATTGCCATTAATGTGCTGTTTGTATTTTAGGTTCAAATTCAGGATACCATGTTTACTTAGTTGTCATGTCTCTCCAGTTTCTTTTGGTATGTGACAGCTTTTCTTTGTTTCTCATGATCTTGATGGTCTTGAGAAGAATTGGCCAAGTGTTCTGTAGAATATCTCCCAATCCCATGAAATCATACACGCTTGCCTGTTTTCATCCTGATTATACTGGGCTATGAATGGATAAGCACACCACAGAGGTGAAGTGTCCTCAATCACATCATATTAGTGGTACATGACATCCACATAACATTATTAATGACGTCAACCTTTGTCATTTGACTAACAAAGTTTTTGCCTGGTTTCTCTACTGTAAAGTTACTATTTCCCCCTTTCCATACTCTATTCTTCAGCAAGTAGTACACCCTCAACAGAGGTGGTAATAATGGGTGAAATTAAGCTTGGCCCCCTGGAAGAGAGAGTACCAAAATATATTTCTCCTGTAATGGCTGGCCTCTTTTCCTTTAATTATTTACTTTTTCAGTTATTTACTTATAACAGTAGAGAACCATGTATATTTACTTTATACTCTTGTTTATAATTTAATATTACATAATTTAGATTGTTTTTTCATATTTTCATATTTTTCATATTGTCTCAGCTTTAATCATTGGTAGCTCCTTTATTTCAGGTTGTCTCCTGTGTCCCTTGACATGCCCCCATCCATTTGTTTTTAGAGCACTCAATGATTATTTTTAAAAAATGGTTTTCTCTTGCATAAATCACTTATGATTTGCTGAAGCTATTGATTTCCTTAACTATAACTCTAACTATTATTGTGAGTAAACTTGAAAAATTATGTTTTATTTTCCAGTATTTTAAAACAGCTATATTATTCATTTTTTTCAAATTAATATTTTTCCTTCTGATATCTTAGTCCACATGGGATTCATTCGAATGATCATCAAATTTTTAAAATGACTTTATAGATTTACTAGCTGTGGAAATCAGTTATATATGTGAAATATTCAAGACATATGTTAGGATCTAACTTCCTCTTGTGGTTAGCGGGGCCATGTAACTCATGTTCCCCAGAGAGCTATGAGTAGAAATAATCTCTCAAACAGAAACCTCAAGGTTCTTGAGAGCTAAGTTTTAAGAAAAAAAAGTTTGTCAAATAGATTTTTACCATGCAAGTATAAACTCCATGTACTTTAATGTTTACCTGTCAACTGGGTCTAACACAACTGAGATCAGAAAATTCACCAGACTGCTTATTATTGTAGAGGAACTCATAAATCAAATGTTTTTGGTAAAATATCACATATTCTTAATACAGTCCCATGTATTTTCTGCATTTGCATCAGCCAGCAAACTATTTTATTTTAACTGGGAATTATGAAGCTTTTCAGCCAATAAGAATACACTTTATTTTTCATATTTCTTTGGTGGGGGAGGAGAGGAAAGTAGTATGGGTTAATGTTAAAAGAGGCAGGAAGGAGAAATAGTACTACTAATATATAATTATTTTAAGTATAATGCTTTATTCTAAAAATTACTGAAATTGCCGAAGTATACAATTTTTCCAGAATATTTTCTTCCTATGACTATTTTTGATAATGTTATCTCATAATTCTAAATGGCTATTTGGAAACATCTCAACTTTCCCTTCTGCCTGGTAGCAATAGGGAAGGTGTTACCAGGTCTAAAAATTGCCAAGATGTAGAAATCTTCCACGTCCATTGTGGCTGAGGCCAAAGCTTATATATCAAGGTATGATCCTATCATTCTCATTCTGAAAGCCATGAATGTTGCAGTTGCTGGAGGATGGAGAAATATCTGTCTCATTAAAAAACACATCTCTTTAACTCATATCAATTGCCTAAAGGAAATAATAAGTATTTAGTCAGGGACATGTGACATATATATATATATTTTTCTGTAGGAAAGCCCCATTCAGTCAGGCACAAGAAGTCCTGATGGGCGGGAACTGAACAGTCTTGGAGCAGGCTCAGAGCTGTGCTAAGTTCCATGCCTAACATTTCATCTAGTGCTGTACTTTCCAAACCTGGTTGGTTTGTAAGCTTAGGTGCATACAGTTTGAAAAACTATGAAGCCTCTCTTTGTCAAAATTTAAATACTTTAAAAGACTTAAATTACAGTACATCATAGGTATTGACAGATGATACTCATTTAAATGCATCAAATGGAATAGCAATTTAATGCCCATCTTCTATTAAAAAACTAAAGAGCTCTTAGAAATGGAAATTTTATAACATCCCTTTTATTCCTTCAACTTTTTTTCCTTTCCTCCTGCACATAATTTTATTTTACTATATTGTAGTATCTTTCTATATTGTGTGCCTTAAAGTATTTTATCAGTAATATTATAATTTGTTACTGCAAAAATATATAATATACACTTAAAATATTTTTCTTTTTAACTTTTAAAAGACAATATGTTTATAAGTGTTAAAACTTATCTCTTGAAATGAGTAGCATTCACAAATATTATTACCATACAATGTGCCAGAACAGAATAAACATATTAAAATGCTGATAAATATAGAAAATAAAATATTATGCCTGGATAATACAAAAATGTATGTTTTTATGATACAACTGGAGTTTTATCTTTTTAAAACTAGCTTGTTTCAATTCAAACATACTATTAGAATTAGACAGTCCTAATGTTCAGTTTTGTAGATTTATTGTTGAGAAACCCTTTTCCCAGAAGTAACTAGATGGAAAATAAAAAAGGTTGTGTTCTTGTTAGGGTTTTTATCAGCACTATACTCAAATTTTCTAATTTCTTCTGCATATATACTAGAATCCGAAATATATTTTATAATAATCATTAAATACCTTGATTAAGTCATCTTCCAATTTTGTTGAAAGCTAACAACCAGAAAACATCTGGCTTTCAAAAAGGATTTGTTACGTAGCTATTAAAGTCATTCACTTTCCTAACACCTAAATCTATAATTTGAGTGGTTTCTTATTTTGGTCCTTGAAGTTTTGAAACCCTGGGGTAATGCGACACAGTTAAGATTCATAAGAAATATACACTCTGAAAAAGAAGATTGATTTAAATGCAGACAGAACTCCTTAATTGCGGCACTGTTCTCAGAATAATAAATTTTAGAAAAGGGTACATATAGAAGAAGAAAATGAATCCCTTGCAAATATCCATGTCCGTATTTCTTGGACAGTCTTCATACCTTAATTTTAAATAATTATCAAACATCTATCCCTGTAATCAAACACATTTCAGGTGGTTGATAAATGTTGACTCAGTGAATGTGCTGCTTACACAATATGGCTAAGTAATTGCTTTAAACATCATTTCTAATCAATATGACCAAAAATTAAAAATCAGCTTGGCCACAGTCTTATTAGAAATTCAAAACTTCAGCATATGCTCAGAAAGTAAAGGAAAAGGCCGGGCGCGGTGGCTCAAGCCTGTAATCCCAGCACTTTGGGAGCCCGAGGCGGGTGGATCACGAGGTCAGGAGATCGAGACCATCCTGGCTAACATGGTGAAACCCTGTCTCTACTAAAAATACAAAAAAAAAAAAAACTAGACGGGCGTGGTGGCGGGCGCCTGTAGTCCCAGCTACTCGGAGGCTGAGGCGGGAGAATGGCGTGAACCCGGGAGGCGGAGCTTGCAGTGAGCTGAGATCGCGCCACTGCACTCCAGCCTGGGTGACAGAGTGAGACTCCGTCTCAAATAAATAAATAAATAAATAAATAAATAAATAAATAAAATAAAATAAAGGAAAAAATTCAGTGACCACACTGAGTTCATTGTTCCTTAATAAGCCTCCATCTCCTCATTTACGAAATGGGGATAAGTATGCCTCACTCTAAGTCTTCTGTAACATTTAAATAAAATTAAGGTAGTAACACCCAAATTTGTCTCCATTCTGTTTCACCTTTTTTTTTTTTTTTTCTGAGAGAGAGAGAGAGGGGGGGAGGGAGAGAGAGACTTGCTCTTGTCGCCCAGGCTGGAGTACAGTGATGTGAGCACATCTCATTGCAGCATTGAACTCCTGGGCTCAAGTGATCCACAGTGTCCCTAGGAGCTAGGACTACAAGAGTGTGCCACCACACCTGGCTATTTATTTTATTTTATTTTTTATAGAGACAGGGTCTTGCTATGTTGCCTAGGCTGGTCTCAAACTCCTGGCCTCAAGAGATGCTATTGAGTCAGCCTCTCAAATTGTTGGTCATGAGCTTCCCAAATTGTTGGTCATGAGCCACCACACCCAGCCTCTTCTTCACCTTTATTTACATGAAAAATACAAAGAATACATTCTCAAAAGCAAT